CATATTCATGTTAGCTTGAGCCTGAGGATCTTTGTTCACATCATAGTTATAGAGGGGAGAGTGGTGGAGGTGAAAGTGGTTCTTTTCATTTTACTGGGCTGGAAAAATAGAAGTTGGAGCATGGAACTTCCAGTGAAACCAGGATTTAGGGGAAAGAATTGCAGATAAATGTGTCTGAAGTTGTGAGTGTGATTTTCTGAGGTGGTTGCACTCAACTCTTAGTTATCTGTAGAACGAGAGAGAGAGAGAGAGAGAGAGAGAGAGAGAGAGAGAGAAAGAGAGAGAGAGAGAGAGAAAGAAAGAGAAGAATAAGGTCCATAAACCAGTATGAAAGCAGAGGGTAAGAGATCAAAAAAGTAATTGAAGATTTCACAGCCTTGTACTGGAGATATAGATATCAAAAGTTCAAGGGCAAACAAGATGGAAGAGTACCGAAAAAACTCCAGGCTTTCATTTAAAGCCCCAGCAGGACTTTACTTTGGGATTAAGGTAAATTTGGAAGATTATTCCAAAAAAGGCCTAAAGGTGGTGTCTAAGTGGTACTGGGTGATTTTCTAGTATTCTGTACTCCTGCCAAGAAAAAAGAATTGCTCTGGAGAAAGGTGGTATCTGAATGCTAAAAAATTTTGTAAACAATGTCCATTATTCAGTCAGAATTCATCAAATGTATCAACAAAGATCAATGGCTGGAATCAAGAAGAATAAAAAAGATAATCGAAACAGATCTGTGAGGGATAAAGATTATAGGCTTTTAAGTAATTTTGATTAAAGTTCAAAATATAGAAATAAATCTGAATTCCAGGACACTGGAATATATATTTCTTTAAAAAGCTAACTGCAAAATACATATTCTTATCATACATACACAGGATATGTACAAAGATTAATCATTTGCTGAGCCATAATTCATTTCAATGAATTTCAGAGATTAGGGTCATAGAATATGTTATTTAATGGAATTAAGCAGGGATCAGTAACAACAAAACAACAAGGAAGTAGAAACACTTTTATGAGTGAAACTGAGGACTTTTAAATGCTCAGGGATAAAAGGGGAACTCATAATCAAAACTGAAATATATTTAGAAAGTAGTGATAATGAAAATGATATATAAACTGCACTTAGAATAAAAAAGGTTTACTGGAAATCCATATGTACCAAAATGAAATTAAACCTCTATCTCTCACCCTGCACAAAAATCAACTCAAAGTGGATCAAAGACCTAGGCTCTAAAACAGAGACCCTGTGCCTAATAGAAGAAAAAATAGGCTCAAATCTTCACTATGTTGGCCTAGGATCTGACTTCCTTAACAAGACTCCTAAAGTGCAAGAAGTAAAATTAAGAATTAATAAATGGGATAGATTCAAATTAAAAAGCTTTTTCTCAACAAAGGAAACAATTAATAAAATGAGGAGAGAGCCTACAGATTRGGAGAAAATCTTTACCACATCCAGCTCCAATAAAGCATTAATCTCTAGGATATGTAAAGAACTCAAAAAACTTAACAACAACAAAACAAATACCCAATCAATAAATGGGCTAAGGAACTGAACAGACACTTCACAGAAGAAGAAATACAGTCGATCAACAAATGTGTAAAAAAAGTGTTCAACATCTCTAGCTATTAGAGAAATGCAAATCAAAACTGCTTTTAAGATTTCATCTCACTCCTGTCAGAATAGCAATCATCAAAAATACAGGCAACAATAAATTGATGAGGATGTGGGGGGAAAAGATACACTCATACATTGCTAGTGGGACTGCAAATTGGTGCAACCACTATGGAAAGCAGTATGGAGATTCCTCAGAAAATTGGGAATGGAACCACCATTTGACCTAGTTATCTTACTCCTTGGTTTATATCCAAAGGACTTAAAAGCAGCATACTATAATGATGCAGCCACATCAATATTTATAGCAGCTCAATTCACAATAGCTAGACTATGGAACCAATCTAGSTGTCCCTCAATAGATGAATGGATAAAGAAAATGTGGTATATATACTCAATGGAATATTACTCAGCTTTAAAGAAGAGTAAATTATGGAATTTGCTAGGAAATTGTTGAAGTTGGAGAATATCATGCCAAGCCAAATAAGCCAATCCAATAAAACCAAAGGCTGAATGTTTTTTCTAATATGCGGATGCAAATTCACAATAAGGCAGGGAGTCACTAGGAAAGAATAGCATTACCTTAGATTAGGTAGAGGGAAGTGATGGGAGGGAAGAGGTGGGGATATGGGGATAGGAAAGATAGTAGAATGAAGCAGACATTATTACTGCATGAATATATGTGACTGCATGACCAATATGATTCTGCAACATGTACACTCAGAAAAATGAGAAATTATATCCCATGTAAATTATATCCCATTATATTCCACACAAACCCCAAAGTGCATAAGTGTATTTTACTGTCATGTATAACTAATTAAAACAAATTATATATATATATATATATATATAAACATAAAAAGGAAAAAAGGCTTAAATGAAAAACACAAACTTAATAAAATTTAAACAGTTGTACAGAAGAAAATTAACAAAACTAAAAGTAGATGTTTGTAAAAAGATTAATATACTTGATAATCTTCTAGCAAGGCTATTCAAGAAGAAAGAAGGAGAGATGATGAATTATCAATAGCAGCAATGAAGAAGAGGCTAGCCCATATACCCTACTGACATTAAAATGCTAAAAGGATATTATGAGTAACTTTATACTGATAAATTTGAAAATTAGTTGAACAAATTATTTGAACAATATCACTAAAACCAATACAAAAAGGAAGACCACATCTGGATATTCTGATATCTACTAATGAAATTAATCTATAATTAAAAAAATCTTTGCCATGCAGGCCCACTTTTAAATTGGATTATCTTTTTCTTGTGGATTAGAAAGAACTTTTTGTATTTTATGGATGAGAGTCTTATGTCAGATGTATAAAAGCAAATATCTTTGTCCATTCTGTGACTTGTTTTTTCACTATCTTAAGTGATGACAGTTCATCCCCTGAAATAGCAAGGTAGAGTATATGGGTGTTAATGTAATTATGTTGGTCAGTTTGATGGTGAGAAAATGAGTTTCCTCTCTTCTAATTTCTTATTTTCTCATATAGTGAAGTAAGGCAAGAATAGTAACCTAGCTCACACAGTTTTGGGGAGGGTTAACTATCTAAATGTATATGAAACTCTTAAAACAGGGCCTAGTACATATTAGTTGTATTCTTAAGAAGTGTTGACTCCTTTAACTATATTTATTTAAACTTTAATGCTTCATCACTATCAACTGATAAAGTTTAATTTGCTAATTATAGCTTATAAGCTTGTTAATAGCATCAGCTTTTCTACTTGTTGGACCTAACAACCTTTTAAAATCGGTTTATCTTCCATTATAGTAAAAGTTCTTTTGTGGAAAGAAAAGAGGCCATTAAAATTAGCACAGTTTATTAACAGAGAATTCCACACACACACCAAGGACAGGAAACTATGTGCAGCCCAGKTCTTTGTGGATCGTGATGAATACATCAGGAAGCAGGACTTTTTCCATAGTTCTTGTTGGTAATAAAAGTCTCCCATGCTTGATTCTTGGATAACAACTTTCCCTGATTCTATATAGATGACATTGCAGCCTTTTGAGTCAGACACTGCTGCTGGTTTCTATGTCTTTAAAGAAAATTTCAAAAGAAAATCTTGAGGCTGCTGTCCAGCCAGTGGTTTGCCTCTTCCTTCCTTTGTTCCATTCAACCATAGCTTACTGTAAATTCTCCTATCCTTATTCAAAGGGAACAATAGACTGAGCACAGGGTAARCTGAAAGAGGGTGTTGAGCTTGGTAGGCAAGTTGATTGGCATGCTAACTACACACAAATTATTCATTTTCTTCCCWGCACTACTGCTGCTTCTAGCCTAGTTTCATCACTGCCTAGCCTGGCTGTTTTTTGACCTGTCCTGTCCACAACTTTGGTTGATTCACCAGTTTCATAGATTTCATGCTTTTCCTCCTTTACTGGTAGTTGACCATCATACATATTGATTAGYGTTGCCTCTGTTCCCAACTGCCATTGCAGTGTTTTGATATTCTCTATATTCAGTCTTCATTATTTTTTCTCCAGATTTTTGAAAGGGTTGAGTGAAATTAAAATTAATTGAATTTTAAAATTTTCTCAATTGTATCTCTTATATTCTAAAGAGTTTATAAGAGACACTTCTGAGAATAAAAAAAAGTCTGGCTAATCTCAACTATAGAAAGGTATTAACACTTTCAGTAAAATTAAATTACCTCCAAAAATGGTAATATTTCTGTGATTCTGTGCTAGAATATGCTGAACTTCTGGGGTTTTTGTTTTGTATCACAGTACTGAAGATTAAACCCAGGGCTCTATGCATACTAGGCAAGCATTCTATCACTGATATATACCCTCAGCCCTGGGTGTTTTGTTGTTGTTTCTAGTTTAAATATTTTATAATAGTTTTTAGAATTCTCATGGGACTCCGGATGATTTGGTCCTGTGATTAATCATGCAGTTTGGGGCTCATTATCACTTATGTAAAACCTTTGTCCCTCTGGAAGACTAGAATGGGAAATTCTGGATAATGGTATTAGAGTGATTATTACTAAAAGAGAACTCCRTTCTTCCTGTTTCATAAGGGGCCTCATTTTAATTAGCATGTTGACTTAGGTATTGAAATAGAGGATTGTATCTTATGATTTCTTTATATGATTAAAAAGAAGCCTGTAATGCAAGTAACTCAGTATGAATATTTTATTCCATCAGAGAATAGAAAGTTTGATATGCTATACTCTACGTATTCTGACAAACAAAATATATATTCTTTATAGTCAGCATTTACCTATTTTTATCTAAATATTTTTCTTAGTCTTTAGTCAATGTGTATTTTGAATGAGCTATTCTTTACGTGTTGAGAAGATTATATTTTTTTGTGAAATAGTAGGCAAAATATATATTTTTTCATATTTGATTCTTTCTTCTTTCTTTCAGGGTAGAGCCTGGATCAGAGTAGCACTCATGGAAAAACACTTATCTGAATACATCTCTACGGCTCTGAGAGACTTCAAAACAACCAGGTTTAAAAGCTCTTTTAATTTCCTAATTTTTTTTGAAAAAAAAATAGCCTAAAACTTTAGAAATTRGAATTAATCAAGAATTATTTAGTTTCTAAAGTCCTAAGCTATTTTGTTTCCTCTTTTTCTTACTGCTCAGATAAATTCACTGTTTTCTGAAGAATAGGTAATTTGTCAGCTAAATACACATCTACCTTGGTTTATGTAAAAGATAGACTTTGTGGCTGGAATATCTTCTCTGACTCATTTTTTACTCTCATTCTTTCAACACTTGAAAGATTAGAGCTTCATTCTCCCCACAGGCTTTTCCCAGACCAATTTGAAGAATGAAATTCCTAAAAGGATTCCTATAGCATCTTTTCTCCTTTCCCACCTCAGCATTTACTTATTTCTGTGCTTGTAAAGAATATAAATGAATCATTTATTTTTTTATTTCATGTATGTACTTAATGATTGCTTGGTTGTCCTCTAATAATAGTCTATACCTATGTCATTTTTCTTGAATTACATMGACTAAAGGAATGACATACCCTGCCATGTGAAAAACAGGACTTTATTATTTTTTCATGATGTTAGGCAAAAAAGGTTCATGTTAGGACAAGACTTATTGTCCTTTAACATTTTTTGATGTTGAAAAATCCACTTTTCTCCATATCAAAATATTTGTAACTAAAAATATTTAAAAATTTCAGTGCCTTATACATGTACTGTCTAATGCTACAACCACAAAAAACTATATAAGTTAAAATTTGTTAGGATTGCATTAAATTTCAAATGTAGTTCTAAGGTTGCTTTATCACAATTTCTGTGCTCAGTAACCACATATGACTAATGGATGCAGATATAGAACACTGTTTTTGTCACAAAAGTTCCACTGGGCAACACTGTCTTTGATTCTCCTAAAGTACCATACTTATTTCTACCTTACTAGTCACATTTCTGAAAGAGAAGTTAATAGTTACAACTCGAGGGCTGGAGTTATAGCTCAGTTGGTAGAGTGCTTTCCTCACATGCACAAGGCTCTGGGTTCAATCCCCAACACCATACACACAAAAAACGATTGCAAATAATTACAACTAGAACCAGTTTTAGTTAAGAAAATCAGGCACAAAGAACTCGAATAACTAAAATCTTAACTTTCATGACTCAATTTAGTGTCTGGCATTCTGGATTTTGAGAAAATCTGGACATTTTATGACATAGTTTTTTAAAAAAACTAACTGCTACAAATTATAGTATCTTATATGTCTCTATCTTTGTAGGCAATAAAATAATAACCTTTCAATTTGGAGATACAAGGAAAACAATTATAAATACTATAAATTTGACCAGGATAGAAAAACTTTTGCTAAAAAAAAACTGTTAGCATAAGATAAATCTGATATATATTTATTGAGTTCTGATAAATCTGATATATATTTATTGAGTTTAGTAACATGATATTCTTGGTATATTTCTGAAGATGGACAGTGAGATGATGATAAACTCTTAAACCTTTGAAACAAACCTTATAAAATGAAACATTTTATCACTAGGAAATAAATTTAATTATGAAAAATAAGTATTGAGAATACTGAAGCTTTGGAAATAAGAATTAAGAAGCATATCAGAATTTAGTAGACGATACCTAAAAATCTGAAAATTCGTGAAAATAAGCCACGTTTTCACAATAATCATCTTATGTAATTATAATATTATGTCTTTTCTAAATAGAAATTGAAACAGCAATAGTCTAGGTTGTTAATGTTGTTTCTTAGTTTAAATGATTGGGTGGGGTAAAAATAATTCTTGAATAGATTATTTTTAGAACAAGCAGTTTAAATATTTAAAGGGAAATGTTTTTTGCCTGTTCTTAAGTGTTAGCCATGCTTTTTCATAAAAAGGAAATGATTCAGCTCTAAAAAATTCTATGAAGTAAAAATATTCTTGTAATAATACATAAACATACTCTATGCAAACAAATGTAGCTTAGTATATAGATCTATGTATGTGTGTGCATGTACATTTGTCAAAATAATAGTGTTTAGATGTGAATATAATGGCTTTGTAATTTCTAAGAAAGAAAGTAGGGATTTATTTTAGAATCTCATCTTAGTAACTAAAAAAATGTGAAAATGAGAGCTTCTTGTTTCCTTTTTCTACTATTTGTGCTATAATTTTTACTAAAATAAAGCTAAAGAAACTTTTTAATTATAAATAMATTTGAATGCATACCTTTGGCAGACAAATGTGTTTGGAAGGCTAGGTTTATAAAATACTAACAAAGTATTATAAAAAGTAGTTGTACCTTACCTTTTATCTGATGCTTCTTGAGGTAAATGCTTCTAGAAGGGTGAGAAATTATCTCTAATCCTTTAGGAATCTTGAGATTATCTGGGTTAAGTGGATTTCTTCTGTTCTGTCTGACTTCACAAAGAGCAATGATATCCTTTATAATAGTGGAACAAGTGTTTACCCAGTACTGGAGGAGGAGCTACAGGACCTAAGGCAGTCAACTTTGAAGGCACTGATCAGTGAAAATCCAAGAATAAGTATGGGTGGAGGAAGGGTGGGGAGCAGAAATACAAGTTTTCTTTAGCTACATGATTGTAGCTCTAAAGTATTAGAGAAATTCATGGTTTTTTTTGCTAAGACGGAGGATGTATTAGGGAGCAGTTGGAAAAAAAACCCACCCAAACCTTGAAGAGTGTTATGGTTTAGGGATGAGGTGTTATTGGGAAATAGGGAGCCAGAGTTGGGATGATGGAAGAGTGAAAATTAGAATATAAGCTAAAAAAGAAAAAGTGGAGARTCCCTTTGTTAGGTTACTAGGAAGACCTACAAAAACTGAACTAAAATTTGCTTAAATTTAATGTCTTTTCACCCACAGATTAAAAAAAATGACTAGAAAAGTTGTTGAAGGAACAAATATGGACAAATTTGAAATAGCAGATATGGGTGGAAAATACAAAGATAGAATTAGCTTTATGGAAACCTCTGTATTACTTTGTAGTCATACTACAACATTTRATTTATGACAAAAGTTGTATTCTGAAAAAATGTTMATTTTCAAAATATTTTAATGTAAAAAGGGGAATGAATAAAATATAAAATAAAACTTTGTAAATTACTGAGCTGTCACAAAAAGRAAATATGAAGGCTGGGGAGTGACTCACTTGTCAAACACTTGTCTAGCATGTTCAAGGCCCTAGGTTCAGTCTCTAGTACTGCAAAATAAAAACAACAAAAAAGATGAGTTAATAAATACTTTTTAAAGTTGTAGTGAAGTAGATAAAATAGTAACATTACCAACATCTTTTAAGAACAAGGAAAGAATTTTAGAATATGAATATGCTTGAAAGTTTTATATTAAATCCTCCTACATCCAGCAATTTGCTTTCCATGGTTTCAGTTACTCTCAGTCTAAAAATATTGAGTGGAAAATTCTGGAAGTAAACAATTCACAAATTTTTAAAATTTTTTTTGTTAAAGTMTATTGTTAATATTTGTCCTACTGTTGTTTTTAATCTCTTAACTGTGCCTAATTTACTAATTAAACTTTACTGTAGATATGTTCCTATCGATGTAAGAGTATATATATAGTTGCTTCTTAATGGGATTTTGTTCCAATAATTTGTGATAAATTGAAAATGTTCTAAGTCTAAAAGTGCATTTGATACATTTATTCTACCAAATATCTTTATAGCTTAGCCTAGCACACCTTAACATTGTCAGAACACTTACAGAATCATTTGACACAAAATCTGTTTCATATATGTTAACCATGTGATTGTACCGCTTACTGTGGGAGCTCCAGCTCACTGCCACGGGCCAGCACTACAAAGAGCTAGCCTAGGAAAAGATCGTCATTCAAAAATTTAAGTATAGTTTCTATTGAATACAAATTGCTTCTCAACATCCTTAAGTCAAAAAATCAGAAGTCAAACCACTGACTTGGAGGCTGTCTGTATAAAGGTTGATATTATCTGCAGTTTAAGGAATACAAGGGCTTCAGAACATATCTCCCATGAATAAAGCTAGGCAACCCTATTAACATGAAAAACTAAACATTACTCAGGGTTACTTTTAAACTGCTACCTTATAGCCTATACAAAAAATCCAAAAKATTAACAATTAAATGTAAAATTCCTAGAAAAAAAAAAACATAGATGCGAATCTTTGGATTAAGCATTAGTTTCCTAAATATGATACAAAAATATAGAGAACAAAGGAAAATAAGTACATAAATTGGACACAATCAAAATTTAACACTTTATGCTTCAAAGAAAACCATCAAGAAAATAAATAGGTGACCTACAGAGTGGAAGAAGATTTTTTAAATATGATATGGAACCTGTATCTAGAATGTATATATAGGACTTTTTCAAGTCATTAGTAAAAAGACAACCTATTTAAAAATGGGCAAAGAATAAATAAACATTTTTCCTGTGAAGTTATACAGATGGCTAATAAATACCAAAATGAAGCCCAACATCATTAGCCATCAAGGAAATGCAAACCCAAACCACAATATGATATTATTGCATATCAACTGAGATTTCTATATTCAGTATCATGTGATAACAAATGTTGATAAGAATATAGAAAAATTGGATCCCTCATACATTGCCAGTGGGAAAGTAAAATGGTGTAGCCACTTTGAAAAATGATCTGGCAGTTCTTATGAAGATTAAATTTTGAGCTACCATGGAACCTGGAATATGACTCCTAGGTGTATGTATATGTCCCTGTATGTATATCTACATATCTCCAAGAGAATTGAAAACATGCTTACAAAAAATACTTATACATATGTTCATAAGCAGCATTACTTATAATGCTGGAGGAATTGGTTGGAGAGAAATACAGTGTGATTAATAATGTGGACATGGTTTCATTTTGGGGTAATGAAAATATGTTATAATTGATTGATGTGACAGCTGCACAATTCTGTGCATATGCAAAAAATCATTGAATTGTACTTTAGATAAGTTATATGGTATGTGTACTGAGCTTTTTAACAG